GTGATGCTGATGATAATGGTGGTGATGATGATGGTAATGGGAACTGCTATGATGATGGTGATGGTGATAATGCTGATGATGATGATGATGATGATGATGGCGATGGTGCGGATGATGATGCCGATGGTGATGATGATGATGATGATGATGTTGTTGATGATGATGAAGATGATGAGGCTGCTGCTGATGATGATGATGATTGAGGCTGAGGCTGAGGCTGATGATGATGATGATGATGATGATGATGATGATGATGATGATGATGATGGTTGCGCCCCACGGTAATGACTCGACCTCGACGTCCGTCCGTTGCCCATCATATTCTCGGTTCAAGACAGAACCTTCTACGGAGGCTCCTCCCTTCACACCGCACTCTCCGCAGTCCGCGAGTTGGCCTTGATTTGCGGGTTTCTATACCCACGCCTTGTCGAGTGCCTGTGCGAAGCGCCTGTGCCCGAGGCCGCCGTGTCGGGCGAGTGCCACCTGCTGGCCGAGCTGGTGGGCAAGCCAACCCAGTGCGTCTGCCAGTGCGGTTGCCATTGCACGACCAGGGCCTCGAGCAGCTGGAGTTCGATCTGGTGGTGTTCCTTGCTCCTCCTGGTCGCCGCGGGTGCCTTCTTCGTGGGCGTCTGCTTTGGCCGTGGGATCGGCCGCCGTACCAGCCCTTCTACTATCAAGGTCGAACCGCTTACCTTCGAAACTGGAAATGGCGACGCCCCAGTGGGTGCACTCACTTAAGGCTGGCGACGGGTCCTTGTCTGCTACTATCAAAACGAGACGGGGCGGCAGTGGAGTGGCATGAGCGCGTGCTGCTCGTGCACAGCAGTGGTACAAAATGAGTTGTTATTTCGAAGGACTTCGATATCTTTGAGGAGGATTTCGGGGAGAGCTATGGTCTGACGCGTTTCACAGGCTCAAGCCAGATTCCCTCCGCGCTTCGAGGGATACATCTGTACCTTATCGATTCTTTCGAGTTCGGCAAGGATCGGGGCTATTATATGAAGACGGGCGAGGCCTTGGCGAGGCCGCTCCGTCCGGATGGCGCCGCCGATCCTGGTAAGGGCGCCGGCGGCGCGGCGGCGGCCGACGACGCGGACAAGGCTAAGTTTGCGGGTGCCGAGGACCATGGCAAGGAAAAGTGTCGCGCGCTGGAGGTGCGGGGCTCTGTGTGTCACGGCGCCCCCCAGAGCGGGGACCCGGGGAAGGTGCTGCGCAGCCGCAGCGACAGATGCGCTTTCGAGCTCCAAGACGGCACGGTGCTGGCTGGCGGTTTGGAAGACTCCACCTAGGCTGTGCACAGACCATGAAGGACTCGCGGATCCTTTCGGGCAGCAGCAAGACGGGCAGAAACGATCCCGTCGTACCTTCCGACGCGTTGAGCAAGATGGTGCAGGCTGACTTCGGGGAGGCGCAGGAGATCGAGTGTCCGCGCTCAAAGTTCTTTGTGTGCGAGCGGATCCAGGAGGGCAGCTAGGGGCCGGTGCAGCGGCACTATTGGTGGCGTTCGGTGCTGGGCTTGGCCGCCACCGATGTGGGGGTGGACGAGCACTTGCTGCTGTCTCGGCTCATCGATGTCGCTCTCACGATTGATCAGGTTCAGACGTGCAACCTGGCCGCGTTCGGGCTGATGAACCGCCGCTGCCAGGTGTGGGAGAGCGCCTGCAAGTTACAAGGACCTGCTGCGCGAGGTGGACGCGGGGACGGTGGTGACGACTGGTTGAACGATCGGTCCCTCTTCCTCGGCGTCAAGAACCTGGGCAGCAGCGCCATCGTCATGCCGGAGCTCGATGACTACGCGGCGAAAGAGCTCGCGTCGCGGGCTGCAGTGCGGAAGGGGCGCCGCAAGGAGCGCGAGGAGGCCGTTCTATCGAAGGACTTGGAGCCGCATGATGTTCCAAGCTACTTTAGCATTGACCACCCGAAAGAATTTCGAGCACCAGGAAACTCACCGAAACTAGAGTTTTCACGCGTCGCGCCCTGGGGGGCTCGCCCGACACTATTTCGACCGTCTTTTCGACGCCTTTTCGAAGGTTTTCCGGGTGCTCGAATTCATGTCTGGGATGTGGTCCTGAAGTCCGATGGGTGCAACATAATGGGGGCCGTAGATCGCCCCCGCCGCCTCGACGAAGAAAGGGGGCCGAGGGCTCCAGAGGGAGACGGCTTGACGGCCTTGCCCCCTCTGTCTTGCGCCGCCGCGAGGGGGGGTCGCCCCGCCCCCTCGGGCCGCGCTTTCGGGGTTCAGGGTTCGGCAGGTGAGAGTCGCTCTGAGGTGTTTTCAGTTTCGCAGCGATGAGGCAGCGGGGCGTGCTTCCCATCTCCTTGGCCGCCGCCTCGGAGGTCTGCCTGGGCGGGGCTTGCCGCCCTGGGCTGTCGAAGAGTCGGCGGCGCCGGCTTCGTCGCCGTCGCGCGCAGGGCGGGGGCGGTCGTCCGTGGGCATCCGCCATCCGCGTTTTGAACGAGTTGGCTGCTCCAGATCCGCCGACGTCTACTCCGGCATCTGCGACTTCTGCTCAGGCCTCGCCTGTTCGGCATCGTCGTGCTCGACAGTCTGGGCATGCATCTTCGCCGCCAGTTGACCGCGGGGGCCCCCTGCGGGCGCAGCCGGCGATTTAGGGAACGCGGCCCGGCGGCGCGGAGGGCGCGTCGGCCGTCGGTGCTCGCGCGAATAATGGCGCGGGGAGGTGTCTCTCCCAGCCGGGCGTTCGGGGCGGGCGCCCCCGCGCGAGTGCGTTCCCTCTGCCGCGCAGCGCGCGCGCGTGGATCGGTCAATGCTTAATCTGGGGAGGAGCTCGCCGCTCGCGCGCGAGGTTTTGATGGCAGCTTCTTTCTTGGCCGCGCTCTTCGGGGTAGCTTTTTTTTTGGGGGGGGGAGTTCGCTTCTGAGCTCTGGGAGGCTGGCGTCGTCGAGGCCAGCGAGGTTGTGCGCGAGGAGAGCGACGGGGTTTCCGTTCGAAAGCAGACGGGCGCCTTCATCTTGACCTGGGATGCTCTCGCGCCGATTTTGCGCTTGGATCAGAGACCCGCCAGGGTTCGCGCTTCTCTCGGGCGAGCCCCCCGCCCATCTGGAGCGCCGCTTCGCGTGGCCCCCATGCTCCGCGGGGGCGACGTAGATGCGTGTTGCCATCGGTTCGAACTCTTTGTCCAGCCTAAGTGTTTTTTCTGTCCTGGGCACCGCTCCTTCCCGCGGTCCACCTTCCCCCAGCCCTCGTCGCCTCGCTGTCGGGCGCGGCTCGCGTTCGGGGCTCGGCCCGTTTTCGGGCTCGCGCGGCGCCGCGAAGTGGAAACGGGCGCCTGGTTTCGTTTGAGCTGCTAGCCGGCGCCAGCGGTGCGGCGTCTCCCCCGGGGCTCCGTGGATTCTAGATGAGGTGCCCCCCGCGGCCCATGGCGACGTCGGGTCGCCGCGCGGATTGTTCGCCGACGTTTCCGTGTCTGACCAAGACCTCGCCCGCCGCCTCGGGCGCGGCTGAAGCTGGCGAGCGATTATCTTCTGGGCTCGGCGGTCGGGGTCGCGGGCCAGGAGTTGGCGCGTCTCGCGGGTCGCGTCGCGGCATCGTTCCCTGCGGCCCCGGAGTTGTTGCGTCTCATGGAGAAGCTTTATGTTTCCGCCCGCGAGAGCAGTGCTCGGCGCCAATCCCGCTAGCCTTCTGTGCTTCGTGAGGCCCGATGGATTCATGCTCTGCTTCCCCATTGCGCGCTTGCGCGCGACGGCCTTGGACAGGGCGGGCGTTCGGCTACGATGCGTCTTCCTTGGGCCACGGCGTTTGGGGCGTGCGCTGTGTCCCTGAAGCTGCCGCCGTCGTCGATCGAGTGCGAGAGCGAGTTCGGTTTCGTTGTCATCTTGCTTGTCCTGGTGCGCCCGGTCCCCGGGCTCTGGACCGTGGGGGGGGGGTCCGGAAGTTTCGGGGGCTTCGGAGGTTTGGCCGCGGTCGGGGTTTCGAAAAGGTCTCCGCCGATTTTCTCGCCCAGGGCTAGAGGGTCGCCGACGCTGGTCGCTGGGGGGGCGCCCCGGGGTCAAAGGTGCATCTGGGGGCTCGTGCTCGGGCGCGGACGGCGTGGCGCGTCGCTCGGAGCTGCAGTCTTCGCGAAGCCCGAGTGCCGCTGCTGGGCGATGACATGTCTGTCATTTGTGCTCGCGCAAAACGACGTTCTTCGACTTCTGCCATGTGCTTTCAGCATTGGGTGCCTTCTGCGTTCCCCCTGGCCGTCGGGCTCGAGCTTGCAGATGGGCGGGCCCCGTCCGAGCGGAACGCCTGGGGCGCAGCCGGCCGCGTTCACCAGCCGCGTCGCGGTGGCAAGGCGGCGCGCGAGGTCCACGCCCGCCACCGCCCCCTTGCCTGCAGCGCAGCTGTGGCTCGAGGTCCTTTCCGACTCCGACGTCGCGGACGACGCGGGCCAGGGCGGCTTCGACAGCCTGCCCTCCCGCGGCCCTTCGGGCCGCGGCCGCGGGCGCAGCGGGGGCGCTGGGCCGAGCGCCCCGTCGGGCCCCCTGCCCGCCCGCGGCGGTGGATGGCAGCGGGGCCCCCGCTTGGGCCGCTCTGGCCAGGCCGCCCTCTCGGATTCGAGCCGCCCGGCGAGGCTGCGCGAGTCGGCGCGGCAGCGGGCGCTGCAGCGGGCGGGGGCGGGCCCGCCCTGCCGCGCGGCGGGGCTGCTGCGACGTGCTGGAGCAGCCCTTGGCCGACGTCCGCTTCCCGCCCGGGCGGGGGCGCGGCGGGGCGAGCGCCTCCTCGGCTTTGCGGGGTGGGCTCGGGCCGCGGGCTGGTCGCGCGCTCTGGCCAGGCGCCCGCTGGCGGCGGCGGCCCGGGCGCAGCCCGCGCCCTTGCGCCAGATCTTCCCCTGGGCGCGCGCGGCGATGCTGGGTTGGCGCCAGCCTCGCCCGGCGCGCTGCTGGACGCCGCTGCCGCGGGGCGTCGTTCTGGCTCTGGCCTTGGCCATGCTGTCTCTGCTCTGTGGGGGCCCTGGCTATCATCGCGATGCTCGAGGCCCGCGCGTGCCCCGTCGGAGAGCCTCGGCCTCGCGGCGGCGCAGCTGGTCCCGCCCGCGGGCGTGGAGGAGCTGGGGCGCCCGCCCAAGATGCAGGAGTTCGACTTCAGCGCGGTGCTCGATCCGGACCGCCATCGCCCAATTTGCCAGCTCTGCAGGCTCTGAAGGGCGGCCGGGGTCGGGGCGGGCGCCTGTTCGACGTCGGCTCGAGGGGGTCGTGCCGGTCCGTCGCGGGCGCCGTGGGCGAGCTGGGGGCCCCCTCGGTCGAGCCGACGCAGCGCGCGCAGAGGCGCGGGGGCGCTGGCCGCGACCGCGGGCGCGCTGCTTCTCCGAAGTTCAGCGGCGCGGGCGCTGGCGGAGCTTCCGCAGCGTTGCTCGCTACGACAAGCGAGCGGGTGTCCTTGCAGTTCGGCAAGCCCCCGGCCGCGGCCCAGGCGAAGATCGCGCGGGTCGTGGAGCGAGGCGTCGGGCCCTTCGCCGCGCGCTGCGCGAAGCTCTTGCGCGACCGCAGTCGCGCGGGAGGAGGGCCTTCGAGAGTTGTTCTCTGGATCCGGCGCCCTTGGCAAGGCGATGGCCAGTCGCAGCGTGGCGGTCATTTGTATTGATATCTGCCACGGGCCTCAATGCGACTTGTCGGATGATGAGGTATTCTCGATGCTGCTCGAGTGGTTAAAATCGGCTATTGCATTGGGGGTGTGGTCTGGAACGCTTAGTCAGAGTTTACGATGGGGCGCCGCGCCCCACAATGGGCTCGCCTTCCTCATCGCCTTCGCTTTCATGTGTATCCGTCTGGCTTGCCCAACTTGTGTGACCGAGACAAACGAGCTGTTTCTGAAAACTGCCTGTTGGCCCACAGAAGTTGGGTGTTTTTGCAGGCCTGCGTTGCTCGTTTCCTACCTTGTGGTGGAGAGAGTCCCGCTCAGTCATATCTCTGGCTTGCTCACGGCCGCCCTGACGTGGCTCGTCATCCTTCGTGTACCTGCTATGTGATCGATTATTGCGCGTTCGGCGCCCGTTGGAGAGCCAGAGCCAGGCTGAAGCGGCCTCAGCTGTTCAGTGTGCAGTGTTCTATGTTGGCGAATGCTCAGTGTACTGGTCGAAGACTATGCATTTTCCCACGACGACCTTATTATCAGTTAGATGGGCCGATTGGTGGAGGAGGGTTTCATAGTCGGCAAAAACAGGTATACTCCGAGAAGCTCTGCCTCGTGTTATCTCAGCTTTTCACTTAATCCCTGGGAAGGGTGCATGTGCGTCAGCTCTGGCTGTCTCTTCCTCCCCCTCTCGTAATTCAGCTCGGGCCTCTGGGGGGGTCCTGTCTGAAGTTGTAAGCTATTGTATTATAGCGACAACGCCGTCGAGTATCATTCGCCACGCCTGTGCTGTTTGCGATAAGGGGGTCCTGGAAGTGGGCAGAGCCAGTTTGAAAAAGATCGCACCTGGTTTCCGCAAGCAGCGGCCAGGAACAACGCAGTCGGAGTCATGGTTGTGCCCCGCGGTAACAACCTGACCTCGACGTCCGCCCGTTGCTCATAGGCTTTTTGGTTCACCCAGAACCGTCTGACCCCCAAACAGCTTGGGCAGACCCGGTTCGAAGAAGTGTTCACTCGGTCTTCACAAGCAGTGGAATGGGAAAAACAGACGGAGTCATGATGAGGATGATGCTGATGATGATGATGGTGATGATGATGGCGATGTCTCCGATGATGGTGATGATGAGGATGATGACGATGGTGATGATGATGATGATGATGATGATGATGATGATGATGATGATGATGATGATGATGATGATGATGATGATGATGATGATGATGATGATGATGATGACGATGATGACGATGATGACGATGATGTTGATTCTGTTGATGCTAATGATGCTGATGTTGCTGATGTTGGTGGATGAACAGGACGAGGAGCAGCAGGAGGATGATCATGAGAGGAGGACGGGGAGAAGAAGGCAGAGGAGGAGGAGGAGGAGGAGGAGGAGGAGGAGGAGGAGGGAAAGGAGGAGGGTGAGGAAAAAGAGGTGGATGGGGGAGGAGGAGGGAGGAGGAGGAGGAGGAGGAGGAGGAGGAGGAGGAGGAGGAGGAGGAGGAGGAGGAGGAGGCGGAGGCGGAGGCGGAGGCGGAGGCGGCGGCGGCGGCGGAAGCGTCGGCGATGGCGGCGGCGGCGGAGGAGGAGGAGGTGGAGGAAGAGGAGGAGGAGGAGGAGGAGGAGGAGGAGGAGGATGAAGAAGAGGAGGAGGAGGAGGAGGAGGATCAGGAAGAGGAAACGGAGCGGCCAGGATTGCAGAACCGCCCCAGGGGCTTTTGGCAAACAAGCTGCCGTCCGTTGCATCCTTGTTCCCGCGTCCTTGTTTCTGAGTGCGATTCGCCGCCACGGCGGGCCCATCCTGGGCGATGGCATCCTCGACGAGGCAAACCGCTGGCGCAAAGCGCCAAATGTGAACCCGCTCAGCTCTTGAGGAGGGGGTGGAGCTACTGGTGGAGTGGGGGGAGGAAGAGGAGGTGAATCAACCGTGACGGCAGCACTGAGAGATATGAGGGCGCCAATTTGGGCTCAATGGGGGGAACCCGAGCTGCAATTTCTAGCCCTCCGCCCGAAGACGGCAATAATTAGGCCCCAAACGGCCCTTGGGAGGCCCAAACGAGTGCCCAACGTAGCCCCCAACAGACTCCCAAACCCGCAGGAAACCCACATAAGAATCCTCTGGGCGAATCTGGAAAAAGCCATCACCGTCGTCCTCGTAGTTGGTGAGGCGTCCTGGCTGTCTCTTCTGCGTATATTTCCTCTCGCCTTGGCGCGGGCCCCCCTTCCACTCCTTACGTTGTCCCCATCCTCGCCCCCCTGTTTGTTCCGCGCCCCGCCACCTCCTCCCCTTCCTGTTGCATGAGCGCGCATGTCGATGTTCCTCGGCGCCGTCGCCGCCACGGCCAGCACAGGCGCGTTCTCTACTGGTCACGTCGCGCAGCCGTTGGGACAACCCCGCGGGCCAGGCTGTCGGGACAACCCCGCGAGCCGCTGGCGCGCAAGACCAAGCCGTTGGGACAACCCCGCGGGCTTCGAGCGAGGCGCAGCCGCGCTCAGGCGGAAGGCAGCACGAAGCCCAGCTCTGCCGCGAGCTGCTTCGCCTCCGCCCTGGACAAAACCGCTCTCTTGTCGAACTCCAGGAGCGCCTTCCGCAGGGACGCCGGCGGCCCGCACTCCAGGAACTCTCGCGGCGGCGGCCGCAGGATCAGCATGTTCCGCATGCACGTGGCGCGGGAGAACATGACGTAGAGGTGCAGCCACCACTGCTCGTCCGACATGCCCGTGCGGCCAGCGTCCTCGTCTCTCGCGCAGTCGATGGTGACGCCCTTGCGCAGCGTCTGGCCCTGCGACAGCGTGGAGGTCAGGTAGGACGCGTGCGTCAGGGTGAACCCCGAGCGGCGCACGCTGTGCGCCCCCGAGCTCTGCCATGTGAACTCCCTTTCGCTGGGCCTGAACATCAGCAAGCTCCGCGCCCGCGCCTCGGCCTGGCCGTCGTCGTCGGCGCCTTCGGCGCCCTGTCGCAGCACCTCGGCGACCTCCTGGTAGATCGGAGACTCCTTGAAGCCGTGCACTTGCAGCCAGATTCCTGACCCGCTCGGATGACCAACATGATCTGCGGGCCCCATATGGAGGGGGCTCCCGCCTGAGACTTCCTCGCAGTTCACTCACAGACGAGGCTCCCGCCTGAGACTTCCTCCATATTCAGGCTTGAGGAGCCCAAAAGTGACGACAGTTACAGGGTTCCGATGACCCGCTCGGATTACCAACATGATATGCGGGCCCCATAGGGAGGGGCTCCCGCCTGAGACTTCTCACAATTCACTAGAGACGAGGGAGCTCCCGCCTGAGACTTCTTCACAATTCACTCAGAGACGAGGCTTGAGACGATTCAGGCTTGGCGAGCCCAAAAGTGACGACAGTTACAAGGTTCCGATGACCCGCTCGGATTACCAACATGATCTGCGGGCCCCATAGGGAGGGGGCTCCCGCCTGAGCCTTCCTCAGAATTCACTCACAGACGAGGCTCCCGCCTGAGACTTCCTCCAAATTCAGGCTTGAGGAGCCCAAAAGTGACGACAGTTACAGGATTCCGATGACCCGCTCGGATTACCAACATGATCTGCGGGCCCCATAGGGAGGGAGCTCCCGCCTGAGACTTCCTCCCAATTCACTCACAGACGAGGCTCCCGCCTGAGACTTCCTCCATTTTCAGGCCTGGGGAGCTCAAAAGTGACGACAGTTACAGGATTCCGATGACCCGCTCGGATTACCAACATGATCTGCGGGCCCCATAGGGAGGGGGCTCCCGCCTGAGACTTCCTCACAATTTACTCAACGATGATGGGGATGAGGATGATGAGTGGTGGTGAAGATGAGTGGTGAAGAGGATGATGATGGATTGTGAGTGGTGGTGGCGATGATGATGTTTGAATGAGGATGATGATGATGATGATGATGATGATGATGATGATGATGATGATGTTCGTGAGCGTGTGAGAGAGTGCGAGTGATGATGATGATGAGTATGTGAGTGACTAAGCATGTGAGAGAGCATCATCGATGATTCTGATGAGGTTGATGATGAGAGAGTGTGAGTGAGTGTGAGTGGGTGTGTGTGTGTGTTCCTGTTCCTGCGCGGGGTGTCCAGAGAAAACAAGAACCCCACTTTGGATGTGGGGAAAAATCAGCATCATCATCATCATCATCACCGTCACCATCACCATTACCGTCACCATTGCGAACACCATCATCATCATCATCATCACCATCATCGTAACAGAGCAAATATTGACATACAATACCATCACACATCATAACCTACCATATCATAACATTACATACCCTAGCGTGACATCACACAACATCGCATAGCCTGAGGAGGAAGAGGTGGCGGTGAACCTGTTGGCGCCCTCGGCGCGGTCCGAGTATTTTTTTTCGGTGTGGAGCTCCCCTTATGTGAATCTATTAGCATGGTCCTGTCCGCCGTGAGTTTCTATGCGCCAGCGTTTTCGAATATACACGGGCTTGATTATTGACTGCCTGGGAGTGAATCTAATTGTGAGTGAGTTGGAGAGTGAATGAGTCTCAGTAGTACGCGCGCGTCTCTGCACATGAGCCTGGGGCCTCCTGTGGCCTTCTGAAACCTCCTGGGGCTTCCTGGGGCCTCCTGGAGCCCCTTGGGGCCTCCTGGGGCCTCTCAGGGCTTCCTGTGGCCTCCTGAGGCCTCCTGGGGCCTCGTATGGCCTCCTGGGGCCGTCTGAAGCCTCCTGGGGCCTCCTGGGGAGGATTCGTGCCCCAGCAGAGGCCCAATACATATAGGAACAAACCCAATCTATAGGAACACAAGTAACTATGTAAAACATTTAGGCGTGGATACGCAGAAAAAAGGACAATCTATATAAACAGATGTGAAAGACCAAGGGTTCGCA